GGGGGGAAGCGGGTAAGTGCATAAATAACAAACGGTGATCGTTGTTTGGAGCAGGGCAAACAGCAAGAGCCAGAATCGAGATACGGCGAGATCCAGGGCCAATTTTTTCTCCAATCTTTTTTGGTGGGGATGAGTCGAATAGCCTTTACAGATCTGTAGATAATGAATGATTGATTTGATTATGGTGGTGGAAGTGCTGGTGAGGCCTAAGGAATAGGTTGTTGGGCATCCCTATCCATTTGCTCGCTAGAATGCCACGTGATCACGCCTATTTAAGCAGTGCTGCGCCCGCTAGATAGCTACAATGAACTAACCTTGAACCTCCATCAGTGGTTTTATATTAAATATGCAGTGAAAAAGCCAAGGAAGTGAGCGCAGAACGTTAGGGAAAGAGTTGTAGTTAGGTTTAAATACCAATGTTGAATTGATAAGATCTCAAAATTTCAATATCTTTCAAGTCGGTATCCAAGATGCAAATCCAAAGCCAAAAGAAAATGTCCGTGGAACCAGAGACAGTGTGAATGCAGGGAATACAACACGCAGAGAGATAATAATAACAAATGCATCACTATCCCCGTTCTCGTTCTTTCCTAACGATATCAAAAAGGATAGCGGACTCGCTGGGGACAGGTATAAAGAAAAATCGAGACAGAAGAACTTTCGTTGTCAAACCACTAACAAAGGATACGCAGATGCCATAACATAATACCTAACTAACAATTATGCCTCCCTTTTTTCCACCGTAGAATCAAAACAGGGTATAAACCGATGTAATCCAATAGGCCAACGTGAGGGCAAGTTCAAAAATACGAAAAACAAAAGAAAACAAAAGAAGTTCAAGAACATAGTTAGTCCCAATCAAAAATCAACCCATGAACAAAACTAATATACTGGAGCAAAGATAAACAGTTCCGACTGTACGGAGTATAGAACAACAAACAAGCTCATCGCAAACGAACGTGGGGAATGTGTGGGTTCGTAATGAAAGAAAAGAGCAAACTGTTTTAGAACAACAGCGGGAAAAAAAAAAAAAAAACTCGAGGGGCAAAGAGAACAGTAAAATAAACGGCTTCCCCACCCACGCTATGAACAAAGACTCTGAGTAGGAACAGAGACCACAAAATTTTAGTGCCAAAAGAGGGAAGGCTGAAAACAACGAAAGCAGAATTGTAAATAACGTGAAGGTTAAAAGGGAAAAAAAAATAAAAGTTAAAATAAAACAAAAACAACAGGGACGCCGACAACAAGGTCCGCAACGTTAAAAATAGCCAGAGCACAGTAAAAGGGAGAAAGAAATAAAATAAAACAAGCCCAAGAAGCCTCGCCCCATCATAGCTCCGGTTTGATATACCCTTGCCACCCCTTCCCTCCCATCGTCGTACGATAGACAAGGAAAGCAGACAGCACGATCCACAATACTCTAAAAAAAAAGGGCCTTTCTCATTTCTTCTTCTTCTTCGTCGTCTTATTAACCGCGCCGTGCTCGGAAACTCTCGAGACACGACGGCTCGCATTGGTGAGACGAACCGCGCGGCGAATAGCGAACTCGAGGGATGTGTTGCTTGCATCGTTATCGTTAACTTCAGTAGCCATGTCAGTAGCATCGGAGTCTTCTGCGGGGAGCGCAATGCTAGGGTAAGTATCGCGGCGGACTCTGGTGTGGCCAGCGCTGGCCTCTAGGGTGTTCTTCGCCCCCAGAACTGCAGTCTCGGAGGGAAAAGAAGGACGGTGAAGGGTTAAGCTAGTAGCGCGTCGCCGGGGAAGGGTTTGTGTGGGGGAAGATATGATGGGGCCGGTTAGAGGAGTAGGTGCGTCAATGAAAGGAATGAGAGGTTGGAGGGTAGGACGAGCAGCAGCACGGACGGTGCGACTGGGAGTGGCGGCAAGTGGGCATAGGTTTGGCAAAATTTCGATGTCAGGGAAGTGAGGAATTTGTTCTTGGTGAACGATTTCCGCCAAGTGCGCGCGCAGGTCATGGAGGGTTGACAGGATTTCATTGAAGGTCTTATAGGGGCCAACTCGAGTGTGAAGCCATCCGGGGACCGGACGCGGGATGATAGTTGGGGATCTCTTTTTCTTCCTATCCGTCGTCGTCGTCGTCGTCGTCGTCGTCGTTATATCCTCTGTTGGCGTGTTGCACATCAGACTCTTGGCCCCATGTTGCTCCTCGTTACCGTCGTAGTCTGCTTCCCCTGTTTCCTCACAAGAGCTGATACTTCGATCGTGATTGATGGGTGTAAATGTCCCAGCCAGACTGCTTGGAGAGGACTCGCCTGCCTTATGGTCTTCAGCCTTAACATCTGGGATATCTTCGTCCTCATCGGCTTCGTCATTTTTGTCATCTTTGTTACTTTCGTTGGCCTGTATAGTTGTACGCCAGGTCTCTCGTCGACGTAGCTGGAGGTTGAAGCTTTCCACTCCGCCCCACGCGAGCATGTTCTGGATAGTTTCTATAGCTAGGTCGCACTGGCGGAATGGCCATTCAGCTGTCCGGTACCTGGCCCGTTGGTAGTGCTTCCGGCAATAATAAATCCATACATGTTCCGGAATATTGACAGTGCACTTCTTGTTGCGACCAAAGATGTGAGATATCACTTTACGATAGTGATTCGATTCCGTCGAGCATACCCCCCCGCTGAACTGACACCGTGATTCCGCCCTGAGAGGCTCGGAAATGGAGGCTGGCATCACGTTCCAGGGCGACGCTCCTTGATCCCTGGCAGCTTTTGCGAGGATGACAAGTAGGGATAGCTGATCAAGTTCAAGGAGGTATTAATGATACTAACGAAGATTGAAGTGATTGACATGTAATTATTCAAAGCGCTAATAGGTAAAAAATATGGGAATAGTGGTAGTCGTACGTAAGAAATCTTGAGAGGAGAGTTTGGTAGAAGGTAGAAGAAGTTGAAAACTAAGAAAGAGATAGAGTCAGGAAAGTAGCCCTTTTATGCGTGCAGAGCTAGAGACAAGACCACACAGATCCTCCGGTGATAGAATCTGAAAACTTCCAGCATACGAAAGGTCGTGAAGAACCGAGTTTGACACACGGGACCGGCGTGAAGAGTTGCGATTGAACACAACGCGGGATGAGAGTGAATTTTGCCTGCCGGTTGTCTAGATTTCGAAGTAGCGGCTGATTGGAATAGTTTTGGATTGTTAGTCTTCAGCTAAGGTTTTGGCCCGCGCGGGGATGATTTAGTAGAGTAGCTGGGGAAGAAATCAGAGTTAGAGTAGCTGGGTGTTACCGGTGTGTAGAGTGTGAATGATGGAGCCAAACAGAGAGAGTGACACTGAGTATAAAAGATATTCTCGAGGAGAGGAATGAACCAAGGCAGAAACACGATGGGATCTGATAAGGTGAAGGGAGCGTTTGCTCACAATCAAAGAAATCGTCCCCCACCCAAGAAAGGGGCAGCGGGTGAGGTAAAGATAGAGAGTTGAAAGAGGTTTCATTTTCACTCTTAATCCCACTGCAAGGATGAAGGGACGTTCCAGACGTTGAAAGCCCTAAGCCACCAACAGTGAAACGGGTTCGTCATCTGAATAATACCCATATTATAATCAAAAACGAGCTTTGCGAGAAAAGTCATGAAACCTTAAGAGCTTATGATATGGTTGCTAATGTTTGTATGAAAACAAAACGAACCAGGAAATCATGGGAGTATAGACAGACCCGTGTTAAGTCAAGCGGCAGTTTCCACTTCCTCCGTAATGGAAGGATCGAAAAGACCATTTCCTGCCGTTGCGATAAGCTTAAAGAAACCCCGCCTGCTCATTATCGATATGCGGTTATTTTTTGGACTACTTTCATCAAAACATTTTGACATTCCTGACGATAAGCCCAGTATTGTGCACAGAAAACATGGCGTGGATTCCATGATATTGGAGGAGTAAGCTCTGCTGGAGCCTGCTCATGGCAATTTGTAGACTTGAACTTATATTTTGGAGCGGACGTGGCCGCTGAGCGGTAAATCGACCTTCGATCCAATCCGCCCCGCCCAAGTTAGGGAACTTTCCAGGATAGTGATCCTCGAAGGGAGGAAAGGAAAGGAGAAAGGGAGCCAGCAGTTGCGACGATATCAACCATAATCGAGCCAGAGGTGTGGGAAACAGGAAAGCAACAAGAGCGAGATATATTATGAATGTGGGAAAAGGAGCTGGCAACGAGAAGCCCAGATCAGATAGGTAAGAAGTGATGACTTCAGAGCTTGGTGATCTGATATCGAGAAACAACGGACTAATTAACTGCCAAAATATTGTTCGACAGTTATTGAATAAAGTGATTGAAATTGGCACAACTTGATATTGCAGCCTGTGAAGATATGATACGGCATGTTTGAAACAAAAAGACAACATAGAAAGCGAACAGATATATGTATCTTGTAAGCCCTGTCAAACCAATTCATTTGGCATGTCATTGCCGGCATCGATCAATCAGGAGCAACAATTTGACGTTGAAATCGAAGGAATGTGATGCCGCATTATGTTGATCACATGACCATAACTAACAGAGGGCGGATCAAAATTTGCTCTCAAAACCGCTCGTTGCTATTTCACCCCAGAGCTGTTGTTGACTATCTTGACCGAAGCTGCGAGTGGATATTTGGAGTGTCGATAAGATGATCTATGGATACTTAGAATATGGAATAGATTTGGGCGCCCAAGGCTCCCAGCTTGACTCCTAAACTTACCAGTAGTTAAGTTATTTCGTTAAATTATGTTCGCCTTCGATACTTTTGCAGCGACATGTTTGAAATTGCTAGAGGGTTTGGCGAGGAGTATTCATTGTGGTTTGCATTACCTTGAGCAGGGAAAAGCAGGGGAGAAAGAAGATGAAGGGCCGAAACTGGAAGAGAGTGAGAATGGATGATAATATCAAAATCACAATGTCATCGATGATTTGCAGATAGACGGCTAACATTCTTGCCTGACCGAGACGATCAAGAAATCATAACGTACATTTATATATCAAGGCTTTGCGTTCCTGGTCAAAATAGCTGTTGATCCATACTTATGGAGGACCTCAGTGTTCAATGGCACTTCAGAGGTGAGCTTCATAATTTGCATGACAACGAGGACTGCTCAATTCATTAACTAGCAAGTGGAAAGGGAGGTCTCATCCTTGCGGAATTTCTGGCCACGCAGTGAGAGATAGGTTTCAATGGGCTCACTTGGATCTGTGTGGAGGATCAAATTGCATGCTACATTTTTGCGTCTGCTGGTATTTCGCCTGGTTTCCACTCCAGTTTGGGTGGAATCGAGGGGACGACTGACACACATATATTGCACGCCGCTAGCCACTAGACACATCATAACAGCCAACCACGTTCAACCTCTCTTCCAACCTCGCTTAGTCAGAGCTGACTGAGATTCCCTTCCGCGCTTGGAACTTCCAACGTCCAAACATCAACATCTAGCACAACACACAACAACTCTCTTCTCCTGTCAACAAAGCTTCGATGTAACTGTATCCCGGTGGCTGCTGGAAGGACGGAGCCTGCTGCAGGCTGCTATTCTTCTATTATCCCCTTGTTATCGTCTCTGCAATATTCTTTGTTCCTGACATGGAGTATATGTGGTTGTGCTCCAAGGCAACACCAAGATCTGTCGGCGGCGCAACCGAAGCAGAGCTTCCGCCTGCCGGGCTAGCTCTTCACACTTGGAGTCATTTCCTGTTCGCTGGGCGATGATTTTGGGTTACGCAGCTTGCGAGAAGACAGCTGCTCATTCCTGCTTTTCTCTTTTTGCTTGTTTTTGTTGAAGCAATCGATCGTCTTCTGTATTCTTTCCGATGTTTCCGTATGCCTGTCTCAAGCACGAAGAAATACAAGGAGGATTGATTTCTGTCTCCCAGAAAATTCTCGTTTTTGTTATTGCAAATGGCTTCTCATTTCTCGCGTCCTCGAACCTGTGCAATTCCCATCATAGACCCCTCTGGCCAACTAGTTTCTGTGGACAGTGTGAATGGAGTTTCGAGAACAAGCCCGCCTTCACATAGTCATCCAAGGACTCAAACAAATGGGGTTCCGTCCACCGCATCAAGTAATTCTCCACGACAAGATGTCCCTGTTCAAACTTATTCAGCTGGTTATACAGCTCCGGCATTGAGTTCAAGGGTCCAGAATACCCCTGCTGGATTCCAGGGACAACAACTCAACTACCTTGAACGAAGAAGGGAGGCATTCTCTGTCGATGAATCACACCACTTCTCTCTCAACTCACAACTCCCGGCATGGCCAAGTCAAAGGTCTATTTACAATGGCACCAACCAACCTGCAGGTCGCTCAACCACTTGGAAGCCAGATGTATATGCTCGTAGCTATGTTCCGGCGTATCTCATCGCCATTAACCGATCCCCTGCGGTTGATAGATATAGCACGCAATTGAAGAGTATCGATTTTGCGTCATACGTTGCGAGGTTTTCAGGGACTTCGTTTCTAGAGCCGTTACCTGTTGAAAATTTACCAACGCTCAAGAGCGTGCCCGTGTCAATCTCCCGTCACACCAGAAATCTGTCGCCATCATCTTACCTTTATTACTTTGACGAATGCCTTCTCTTGGAAGGGATGAACTATTCCCAGGAGTTATCAGGACGCAGTCTCTATAACGTCATACTTACTTTGACGGACGCCAGACAGAATCTTTATAGTCTGCATGTACCTGGTCTTAAAGATGGCGCCCCAAAAGTTGGCCTGGGAGATACTGTGCTCGTGCGACAGATAGTCCCTTTCCCCCAACTTGCCCAGCAAGGAGCTGAATGGCTGAATCATAACAAGACAAACCTCACCGGATCCATTGCGCCCGGCTTTTCGGGTCACCAACTTCACGCTGTTGTGTGGGGGATATCTATGGTAAAGGAAACAATCATCATCAGGATCGATCATCTTCTCCCGACATCTCGACTCTGCAATATCCAGTTTACTGTCCAACCGGATCTGTTCGTGCCGCTCTGGAGAGCCGTTGTTGACGTCACAGATGGCAGGCTGTGGGAGCATGAGGATGTCAAGGCTGAAGTTGCCGGCTCCATTGAGAACAAACGAAATTGGCTTCGTCATATGCTCTTTCCAGAACCCAGTGATGGTGTTTTGCAAACCATACTGCCCAAAGGAGCATTCGAACATAACTGGGCAGATAAAGACTTGAATTATCAACAGATGAAAGCTGTCGACTCTATAATCACCCGCAACTACGGTACTATTCCATTTTTGATATCTGGGGTACCAGGGTCGGGCAAAACGAAAACCGTGGTTGAATGCACCCTGCAACTTCTACATCAAAACGATAAAATAAAACCTCATATTTTGCTTTGTGCTCCCTCCAATCCAGCGGCCGATACTTTAGCCATGCGCCTAGCTAAGCACCTGCAGCCCCATGAAATGTTCAGACTCAATGGATGGTCGAGGACGTTCGCAGAAGTTCCTGACCAGCTGTTACCCTACACACATTCGGAAAATGACCTTTTCTCAATGCCGGAGTTCAAAACTATGATGAGCTATAAAGTCGTTGTGACGACCTGCATGGATGCACATATACTTGTTAGGGCGCGGTTGTCTAATCAAGACCTAATGAAATTGGGATTCGAGATGTTTAGTTCGATCTCACCAGGGATAAAACCGAATCCGCGGGATATGCTTCACTGGACTGCTCTGATCGTGGATGAAGCGGCGCAAGCGACAGAGCCAATGGTTTGTATCCCACTGTCGGTGGTTGCAACGCCATTATGCGTCAAGGAGAACGTTGACTCGTCAAACACAAAGTCCAGTTTACCATTATTCATCATGGCAGGAGATGAGCATCAGCTTGGGCCCCGAGTTTCGAATACCAACACGGCATTCTCAGTCTCTTTATTTGAGCGCCTATTTTCTCTTCCCATCTACGCCGATCACCCACTCTCGCGCCGTAATGCCGGACCATATAAAAAGCTAAGGCAAGAAATGCTTCCGATTCCACGACCAGCATTCACCAACCTCACTCGCAATTATCGGTCTCATACATCCATTCTCGCCATGCCATCCGTCCTGTTTTACAGTGACACCCTCATCCCCTCAGCTACTCCAGCACATCCAGATGGGCCTGTTCCATCGTGGCCAGTCTGGAAAGCACCCCATCGGTGGCCAATACTATTCACCTGTAACACTTCCCCCGATGATGTAGAGGAAATCCTCCACAGTCCCGCCGGTAGCGGCCTTTTCAACCAGGGCGAGGCCCTCAAAGCACTACATTTCGTACAGTCCCTCCTCGATCACTCCAACAGCCTAAGTTACCCCTCTAATGGCGCTAATTTAACTCTCACAACAACCCCAATGCGGCCCATCACTCAACAAGAAATTGCGGTAATAACCCCTTTCCTGACCCAAGTAACCCACCTCCGACGCCTCTTCCGCGACCACAACCTCCACTCCGTCAACATTGGCCCCGTCGAGGCATTCCAGGGCCTTGAATCGCGCTTCCTGATAATCTGCACGACACGCACGCGCGCCGAGATGCGCTTTATTCAGCAGGACCAGTCATTCGGCTTAGGCCTGGTTGGCGAAAGACGTCGATTCAACATGGCCATGACCCGGGCGAAGGAAGGGTTGATCGTAATCGGCAATCCGGATGTGCTGGTTGGCGTGTCGAAAGATGAGTCGTGGCGAGCTTTTCTTAGCTTTTGTGCCAGGAATGGGTGTTGGGATGTTAATGAGAGTAGTGAAGATGCGGGCGTGAAGATGTGGGCGTGGGCAGATAGGTTGGCTGGTCATCGGAGGCGGGGGCGTGGGAATGTGAATGGATATGGCAATCGGGGTGGAAATGGGAGTGGGAGCGGGGATGAGAATGGGAACGGCAATGGGAGCGGCAACGGGAACGGGAACGGCCTTGCGGCGCATGCAGAAAATTATGAAGAGGAGGACGATATACGACTTCAGGGGTATGTGAGCCGTTTGGAGCGGGGTTTACTTTATGCGCAGAGTGCAAAGGAAGGCTATGACGGGGTCAGCGGGTCCGTTGATGGGGAGAATTCGAGAGATGCTACAGGCAGACATTGTCTGAAGGGAGGCCGGTGCGGACAAGAGAAAGGGAAGGGTTATTTGGGTAAGGAATGGAATACGGTTGATGATTATGATGCGGCTATGTGGACGGCGGGAATCGCGGCTGAGGAGGTGCTACGGGGTTCGCTTGATGACTGACTCTGCGCAGTCCGTTTGTCATCTTGCGGATAGAGTACATCATCCCCTTTCACTTCTTCATTGCTTTTCTTTATTTCCCCCCTCCCTTTCATTTTCCCTTTCTTCGCTATCTGAAATTTGTTTCCTTAATCATTTCTTAATATCGCTTTTTTTTGGACCTTGCAAACCCAAGGAGACAGTCCATTTGGGGGCGGCAGTATATTAATTAGATATTTTCTTTATTTTATCATTTTGTCTTTGGGCTTTTCGAAATGATCGTCGTGGGGATAGGCGTCAGAATGAAGATGGGAGGAAATTTCGAAATGTAGAACGGAAGATAATTTAAAACCAAAAAAAAAAAAAAAAAAAAAAAAAAAAAAAAAAAAAAAAAAAGCAATAAAATAAAAAAAACAACAAAACATAAAATAGAAAGTAGAAAGGTAGATAAAAATATAATAAAAAAAAATTGGAAAAGGGAATAAAAGACCTAAGCTGAGGATTTTCATACGATAGAAAATGCCCTGTAGCTTCTTGCTATGGAATAATGCTATACTACTGGGCGAGCCAAATAGCCTAGCTATCAGCCCATTATAATGGCCGAGAATCGTATTTGTAATATACCCACAGCTAGCTATCTACGCTGTAATACATGCTGGTATTTCTCACTGCACAATCACTGGTTCTGACACTAGTTAACATGGAAGCGTACGTCATGCCTAGATGCCATACGTACTATTTATACAACTGGAGAAAAAAAGAAACTCTGCATACTCGCCACCCTCAGAAAAGAAAAATGTATAACCTGTAACCTGTAACCTGAAGCAGCCACTATTCAACTGCAAAGAACATGTTGAGAGGCATTCGCATCGTTATCAGAAGTGAAGGGTTTTAATTACTTCCACTTCATTTTCCCCATCTCGTACGAAGCAGCAAATGGCCATGCCCACATCATCTGTAGTTGTCATAAGCTCCATGAAAAGTGGGCAGGGAGACCACGACAATCTGCGAATGGATGAAGACCTGGACCGCCCGGGCTGGCAGCGCATACATGTGGCCCCAGTCAGCCGCAAGACTAAATCAATATGACATCGATATATAATGTATGTGCTCTGCATGTCCCTGGATCCTGAGTTTTCCTGTAGAAGTCCGTTGTGGGTAGAACCTTCAACATCTGGAAGGGAAATATTGAACCCAGCACTGGTATTTCTAAATAAATATACTCCTCGATTTTTTCTAGTGCTGTAGGCTTGCCCATGTGGCGTCACTGAAGATTAACCAACCTACTTACCGCCCACGGGATCTTCCAACTCCTGAAAGGCGAGAATCCGACCTGAATTCCTTGGGAGCTTACACTTTTCAGAGCCAACACGACGTCGAGGGAGGGATAACATTTATGGCAAAGCAGGTTCCATTGTACCTAGCACAATGGAAACAGTTTAATGACAGAAGAGAGAAGTGCAGGGATAAGAGCACACTGTCTCCCCATATCGAAGCTGCTTGGTGCAGCAGAGACAAGAGATTGTACCCACAAGGGGCTGGACAGATGGAATCCCAGCAGAAGAGGAGATTGGGTTTGTAGATGATACCTGCATTCCCAACCCAAGGGTACACTGAGCAGGGCTTGAACGCATTATTGAAGTGGTTCTAAACTTTCGGCCCAAAACCCATGATCCTAGGGTCTAACTCCACATCAAATTAAGGATGTTCAATTTGAATCACAGGGAAATGTCAGGCAGGGCAGATGCACACAGAATTTTGGAACAATGGCGAAGTTAGACATGCGCCGTCTGACAAGTTGGGAGACGGTGAGAGGCATGATACCTGTCCATGTCTCATTGACCTGGGCTGTAACTTTAAGAGTCCATAACAGGATGTGGATTCGCCATTGCGTCCATCCTCAGGGCCCAAGAACTGTCAGGGCAAGGTGAAGAATAATAAGAGGGCACATTGGCCGGACCATATTTGGCAAATGGTCCCCAGTTTGTTGATATCCTGACCTGAAGAAGTTAGGAGAGGGGGCTGAGGTAGCGGATGATAGAGAAAGCAAACCCCCTTTCCGTTCGAGAAGAATCAAAAGAACAACAGAACAAACAACTGGCTCCCACAAGTCTATGGAAAAAGCAGGTATATGGGGATGGATGAGCATGTTCAGGGTTGAACAGATGTGTGAGATGCTTAATCTTCTCATTGTGTGGTTGGAGCTAACTATATAGGGGCAATCACGTGCGGTGGATTGGTCGGCTTCGCCACGTGACCCGGCCTTGTAGTGGCCCATTGACTTCTTGGACGTGGAAGGTGTCCTTCTTTGGGGTCTTAGCTGTCGGAGAGATACCCAAGTTTGTTGAGCCATCCGCCCTCACATCATCAATCTCCTCCAAGTCTACGGAGGATCATGTCTATATATTCGCCTGCGCCGCTAAGTTCATAATCTTG